TCGGATAGCATCACATACGTAGTGTTTCTATAATTTTCGATATATTTTTATAAAATTTGACGTAAAATTATTGCGTTCATAGCGTTGAAAGGTGGATTTTCCTAAAATATCATGATTCTAGTCTTTGATTGTGTCTTTTGTAAATAATGTCTAAACAAATTCTGCTTATAAAGATCTCGTGAATATGTGTATCAAAAAGAATCTTTCAAAATCCTGATGAGAAAGTTGAAAGTAATGCCTCCAGCCGAAGTCTCCGGCGAATTAAGGAAATAACACTTTAGAGAAATAATACACGAATTAAGGAGATAATAACGTCTTTTGACGATGAGGTAGTAGAAATTTTGCCGAAAAATTGGATGGAAGGTTGACGTGGGAATTTGAAATTGAAGAGGGGATAAGATCTAAAAGTTTGAAAAAATGACTGGCGTTGGTGGCCTTGTACCTAATAAACCCTTCCAATGGTTTGGAATTCAAACTGTTGTCTCCATTCCTTTCCGGGAGGTGGAGAAAAATTTCAGATCGAAAAGAATCAGTCTAAACAGTGGGACATATATCGTCTAAGATCTGAAGAACTAAAGTCATCTAAGCAGTCGAAGTATAATCCTTTGAGGAACTTTCTAAGCATGCGGGTGGAACATCAGTTTCTGTTCGATTGAGATCGTTAGCATGCCCGACACGTTAAGCCATTGCTCGAACTTGTAATCAAATTGAATCGTCCCCATTGCTAGCGATCGCCAAGCTAGACCAATCAAATTTCAGTCTCGCCAAAGCTTTAGCTGAGGCATTCTGTTCACGGGCCGGTTATCCGGTGTCTTGCTACGGAGTCTTTTCTTTATTTTTTATCCTCCCTCTTGAAGCGCTGACATGCGTCTCGTATTGCCCAATACGTGCGTAACAGAATCGCATCATGATTTTCGGTTAAGTCATCATCTTTTTTAAGGATTCCTCTCTCCGTTTGTCGTTAGTACACTCAAATCGTCGCTTCTGTGGCGTAAGGGTGTATCTCGAGTCCCACGTGAGCCCTGTTTTCCTTATGACTGTATGCTCTCCGAGGCTCATGTGAGAATCGAGATACGCCCGTACGTCAGAGGAGCGACGAAATATGCCGGATGGGTTTCCTGGCGATCACATGACAAAGCTTGGCGCCTTCGTAAATGCCAGTAGGTAACTATTTCGACCTCGAGGAAGTGTTTTGCCTATATCATGATATGAAGGGGCGCAAGGATTGCACTGACTTGACTCTATTTTAAAATGGAGTCTTTCTCTTTCGGCACATACTTTTTCGTTTTGGGATAAGACGTTTCGTTCGTTGACGTTCGTTCTTTCATCGTTTTTGCGGCCAGCTATTTGTTCATGCTTGCATAACACGCAGATACCTCCTGATTCTCAATTTAATCATACAATTAAGATAGATTAGAGAAAAATCAGTTCCTTACTATGCAGAGACTTATTTGTATGCCCCCCTCTTTATTTTGGATTTCCAAATCTTTGTAGACGGCCACGTATTTTAAACGTGGGAAATTTTGCATAGTTTCGAAAATTTGTGTTTCAAACATCGAATTTTTTTTTTTTTTTTTTTTTTTTTTTTTTTTTAATCTTTGCTTTTAAATGCAACACGGTCTTACGGAGAACGCATGGTTTTCACGATAACGCCAATCGACATTCCCATTTCAAAGTCCTTTTTTCCGCCACCTTCTTTCATGACCCAGCCCACCGGTCGCGGCGTCCCTTCACCCGCGCGCCTTATTGCGTCACGCCATGCTCCACCGCCGCTTTGTAGGCGTAGTGTCATAAGTAGAAGAAGGAGACCCCAAACCAAGCCGCAGCGGTGGCGAAACAGCGACCGTGATGGGATTCACCTCCTCCCTCGTTTATTTATCGCCTCAAAATTTCACAGTTGTCGGCGGGGGAGGCCAGGCATCTGTCGCCCTTCTGACATTAAATCATATCTCGTTTCCACGTTGAGTTCTATTCCTCATTTAATTCCATGCTTTATGGGGTTCATGCGGAGATCGAGATACGCCGTTTCGTCGGAAGAGCGGCGTATTTTCGGCCTCTCCCATCGGAGGGAACGCGTGCGCTCCCTCTCCTCGTTTAGAAATTTCGAGGAATTAGGGAAACGGGGGATGGGGAGGGGGCGGAGGGGAGGCCGGGGGGACCCGTGTTCCGTGCGGTCTACGTGCTCGGCGAGCCAACCCACCGAATTTACCCCTTGCCTTGGAGAACTTTTTCTCACTCTTCATAATTAGGCATTACGTGCGATTTATTTTCCCGGGAAAGTTTATACGGTGCCCCGCACGTCGCACGGCGGCGGCGGCGGCGCCCCTCCCGCAAAGCCGTGTCGATAAAAAGTCCGCCCGGTGGCACTTGGACTGAATCTTTTATCAGTTGAACTTTTTTCTCCTCTACATCGATCCCCGAGGAGCCTCTGGCTGGAGCAAGTTAAGCGCCCGTCCCGTGTGACTGATAACTCCGCCCGAGCCGAGTGTGGAAGGCGCGCACCGTTGTCAAGCACTGAAATAAAAATCTCGGTGTATTCACTAAGAAAAGGGTAAAATTACCAAGAATTCAGGGTTCTATTTGATCCCAGTTTTTTCTTGGTAAAATTACCATTTATGGTATTGGTAATTTTACCGAGAAATCTCGATGAAATTATTGAAGTTTCTCGGTAATTTTACTGGACCTTGGTATAAGCGCCAATATTTGGTATCGACTGTGGTAGAATTACCGAGATAAAATGGCAAAGTTACCGGGAATTGATTACCAATAAAAGTGGTATTCTTACCTGATAAAAACCAGTAAAAATACCAGTTTTTAGGTAAGTTTACCAGTCTGTCTTGGTAGCATTACCAATAATTGGTAAAAAAAGTGAGATAGTAAAGGTACCAACGGACCTTGGTAAAAACGCCTAGAATTTTTTTTCAGTGAAGGCACGCACCGTTGTCAAGGCTCTCGACAACCCTCACAACTGGACTAATTTTTACGGTGAGGGGCTGAAATGCTACGGAACATCGTTTGGGAGCTAAACAAGTCCTCAATTTTGATACATTCTAACGTCCTCACTTGCGTAAATATTCGTAAAAATGTACGTATTTCCGTCAAACAGAGCTATGTGCATTAAGACATGAGCCCTGAGACTCATACGAATACATGCCTAACAGGGCTCACGTCATAATGCACATAGTTCCGTTTGACAGAAATACGTCTAAATGATGGGATACGTTTCGGGTCCTTAGGTTCGGTTCCATCATCAGCCGCTATTCCGAACCAAAATTTCTGGCTCATCCGTAAGAACACCTATCTGCAAGGGGACCCTTTTGGTACATGTGGTGACTTAAAATAAGGGGCTAGATAATATAGTTCCCTACTGGTAATGCAGTCCAACTGAACTCCGGAATTGCTAAGCTAACCGACTCGGAAAATTTCAATTTTTCCTATGTCGCAGGCTTAGAGTCAAACCGGTTTCGCCCTTTGGCCATCGATTTATGCCACTAGTCTCCCATCGTTATGTAGATAGGCGATTTTTTTGATAAGCGAAAAATAGTTCCTATTGCAAAATAGAACCCAATTACTCTACCTTCGATTGCATCACTAAAATTTTCCCCGCTTCCGTAACTAAAAATTATTCAAAGGAGTAAATTAAGGTCCTTTCAAAAATATTCTATCATTTTATATTACCTCCCATAATTCTTAGCTCTGGATAACCACCTCCCTCAAAATGTGTTCGATTTTTCATAGAATAGACACTATTTAAATGTTTGCCGGGCGAAAAAAATGGACAGTTCTAAACCGTCATCAAATAGCAAAATTGGTTATCTCTCCGTTCAAATAAATTGTACTTATTCGATTTAGATACGCTTTTAGGAACAGTAAATGTAGGTTTGGCTCAAGAAACCGATAAATTCGGGTGCCTTTGCCCCTCCGGAGTCCGGTTATTCTGACCGAATTCTGTTTTTTCCTTTTCTCCCCTTCAGAGCAGGTATTTCCGGTTGGAACGGCAACATAGGCCTTTGCTTTCGTGGGACGGACCCGTGGTGTGTGTCGGAGCTTGGAGGTGTGAGTGGGGTCTCGTGCTAGTTTGAGTATAACATGCGAGCAATTTCACTCACTCGGAATGAGTGCGCTGCAATTGCTGCACCCGGTTATTGCTGCCTTTGTGATAAGTGGGCGCTTGCAACTATTTGCTGGCGGTTTTTTAAGCTCCGCAGCCATTAATATCAATCCCTCGTTTGACCCGGCTCCTCTTCCGGCTCTTAAATTTCCCGCGAATGCTTAATGTCCGCTTTAAAAACGCCCAGTGTTTGTGCCCTCCTCGCGAAATTGAAAATAGATGTGATATGCAACCGCTCAATCTCCCGCCCCCTCCGAAATGGGAACACACGAAGCACGTCGGCTGCGCCACACGTGGAACTATCGTTTTCGGATTTTTTTTTTTTTTCCTACTACTTTATATAGCCCACAATGGCTAATCCTGCGCTTTTTAGTCCCTTCCTTCCTCCGTCCCAAGTAACCAGTCCCTGGCAACCATTCACTGGAAAAAACCACATTGGATCTAGAGTTCAAACTCTTAAATTCATCGACAAGAAAAAATACTCTTGATTCGATCAGATTTAAGCTTAAACCAAGAACCAAGCCTCCTAATTTAAGCGGATTTCCTTTTGATTCAAGCAAAAATCCGATTGAATCAACAGTATTTTTTCTTGTCAATGTTTTCAAGAGTCTAGACTCTAGATCCAATGTGTTTTTTTTTTTCCATTGTTGTTTGAAACCATCGAACTCGGGTTGCCTGGCCGGGAATCGAACCCGGGAACTCCCCCTCATAGAGCTAGCGCTATAACCACTACACCATAGAAGGCCGACCGAATCATATAAAGACAGCCCTAATCGGAGGTTGGGTCTTGTATGCTCACCTCATCGAAATTCAGCTGTAAATGATTGACTGGTAAATGAAAGAAATACTATTTTTCCTAATATGGTTCTTTTTCTTTTGTTTGTTGCAGAAGGATTCCCTAGTTTTAGAGCCTACAAACGTCGCAAATTGTGTTTCAAAAGGAAAGTCAGAGGTAAGCTACGTTACTTATTCATTTTGTCCTTCATACACAACTTAATCTATAGTATAAATATCAAAAGAGTAACGAGCAACGCATAACGCCTGAAGTGTGAAGCGCCTCGAGGGGTTGGGCTGCGAAGCGGCCAGGGGGCGTACCCCGCAGTATAGCGTGAAATTTCTACGAGTAAAGAGTCATCGCTGTCCCAGAATTCAAAATTGAGATTTTGATACCTTATAATTATGTATTGTCACATGGTATTATTTGATTTAAAAGTTATTCTGAACAATGCTTGAAATTTAACGTTGTGGTCCAAGAATTAATCTGAACAATGTATTACCACTCAGTTTTATTGAAGCGCTCTCAATCAGCAACAAGTCATACCAGAAAATGTTCCCTTCACATATCTGAATGTCCGAATTTCGATAAAAATTTGCCTCCTAAAATCTTTGGTAATGTTAACGAAGATCTCCTCTTTTGTTAAAGGCCGCAACTGAAATTCGCAACTCGCGTCCGTGGGTTTTCCCGCCGGCGCGGCTTTTCGCATTTTCCGCTCCTCTTCAGTCATAATTCTTCATAGGACCCGACCGAGTAAAAATGTCCCCCGTGCTTTGTGATTACAGCTGAGGTAGTGCTTTCACTCCGGATTTAATGTTTAGGAAAAAAGCTTCGAGCTCGACTTTAAACGAAACGTCGCCAACTTTAACGGAAGACGCTGCATCGAGCCACGGTTCTACAGGCAGCGCGCGACGCCAAGTCGTTGACGGCGCAGAGATACAACTATTCGTTCTTGATTGATGCCCGTGTTGCATCTTCAAAATTGAAGGCGCGAGGCGTGAACTCGCAATTCTCTATGCTGTTACAGTGAAGTGTCGCTCAGATTTGGAAGAAAAGTTAATAAAGAAAGGCCCGATTTCATCTCTCTTATCTTAGGTTGTTTTGCTCACGTAGCCCTTAAAGCTTCACTACAAATAAGGCAAATGGGAACAAACACAATTCGGAAGTAAAGCAATGGAACGGATGATGAATTTGATGACGGCGCAGAGATACAACTATTCGTGCTTGATGGATGCCCGTGTTGCATCTACAAAATTGAAGGCGCGATAGCGCGTGGCGACGCGTGGCGTGAACTTCGCCCTGTGCTGCCAATGAGGAAATGTTAAAAATAACCAACATTTTTTATTTTTTTAACAAATTTAGGATGTAATTTTAGTCCTCCATCTACAACTCGCATACGTTGTCGTATGCACCATGTTTTGAGCGATTCGCCTCGGCATCCAAGAATTAATAATGGTCTTTTGGTAGTTGAAATTCGTCCGGTGGACTCGAGTCTCATCGATAGCGAGGTGTGGATGATCGGTTAGCGACAGTTCCCCATTTGAAGCTGTGGCAAAGAATCGATTATCGAAGTGTTCGTCCGTCGATCCTTTTCCGTAGGTTTAAATGGCAGATCAATGGATTCATCGCAAAACATACTGAAGCCACTGAAATCTCTCGCACTAGGATACACTCGTCACAATAATCGCGCGGCCCAGGCTCACTTCGCGTCGCGGACTGTCTGTGGAAACCGTATACTTCTCGACGCGGAAAATTCTTCACCACAGCTAGCTCGGCAAGGGCGCGGCGAAGAAGTCATAGGTCGCCCCTTTATGCAGTTCGGTGCCTTTTTGTCCGCGAAGGCCCATAATTTTAAAATATTACCTTCCCCTCAAATTGAAATAAATCGAGCCGAATAACGAGCAGGTATTTTTATACACCCCCGCGCCCCCTTCCCCGCCCCCACCTTTGCGACCTTTTCTTCTATCTCGAGAAGAGCGGAAGCGGAACCGGGCGACGTTTACATAAAAAAGTCATTATACGGTATGGACAACGAAATAAACACTTTGCTCGGTGCTCTCGAGGACGTATTGAGCGTATTTATGCTAAAAGGAACTATGTGCACGGGGAATGCGTGTGACATAGTTCCTTTTAGCATAAAGGCGTCCTATTGTGAGTCGGGGCCGAGGCACAAACAAGTCCCGGAAGGGCGCCCGAGGAACCAGGAGGGGCGACTTTTCAATTCGGAGCGAACAGGTCTGCCTCTTGAACCCGGCACGAAAAAACGAAGATGGGAATTTGATTATCTTAATTTACCCGCGCATTGTTGGCCGGATTGAGACGTACTAATTGCAGTATTTTGAGGTTAGGGCTCCGCGACTCAAACCGCCATCGCGACATCGGCGTCGCCAAATTTGTATTTCCATGTTTATTTATTTTTGATTATTTATTCCTTTTTATACCGGAAATTTGAGATGAGAAAAAGTAAAAGGTTCTCTTCCAAAAGATAATTGAAACACCGTATCTCAGACCGCGTTGTTTAGAAAGTTTGGCTTTTCAAAAAATGTCAAAAATAGTAACTTCTTTTCGCTGGAAGTGCAACTTAACGAGTCATAGTCTCTCCGCCAGTACACAACTTTGTATTTTAGATTGATCTGACATTCAATTGTGCAATTATGACAAAGAAATATGGAACTTTAAAGGGTTTCCATGGAGCCGACCACGGTTGGACTAACATATTTACAGTAAGAATACATGTTTTGAATTGAATGTTCTTTGACTATCTTATGTATAATTTATTTTTTTCAATGATAAGCGTAAAAATACATAATATTCTGCAAAAATCGCTATAATTCGTATGAGAAACTTTTTTGTGCGACTAATAATGCATGTCTGCCAAAATGTGAACGATTCCTGGATGGTTTCACTCTTTTTATTGAAATAGTTGGCTCGGTTTTTTAGAAGAGCTCAGAATTTTTTATTCATTTATTTCATTGCTGTTTAACAGTAGGCAAAACAAATCGAAATATCTTCATATTTCATTTTTGAACTCCCCAGGTCTCCGGAAGTATAAAAATGTAATGCGTGAAATCAACTTGGAGTGTGACGCGAAATGATTGCTTTATTACAAGGAACTCTAATCCGGAAAAATGCCGGGAGACGGAAACGCGACCAACGCGGCCATACTTTTAAGGGAGGAAACGAGGGGTTTGGCAATCTCGGCCAGAACAGGAGTCGAGGAGGCGCTGTTTTATGCAAATTTCGACTCATTGAGGTTTGCTTAACTGCTGCCGTAATTACAACTCCCCTGCCCCCCCCCCCCCGGCTAACCTAGCCTTCCGGCGCCCCTCCTAATGGGTAGCCCTTCGCGCCTCTAAATTCTCATCGTAATGATAATGATGCGAGATGCTAATGATAACAGGAGTAATAAAATAATGATAATCGAACCGACTTATCATTAGCGCGTCTTGTTTTCCAATTTGTACGGCCGAGTCTCACCGCATTCACGCACCCCTTCCTCCCTTATCAATCATCGTGGTTCTTTTTCCCCCACAACTGTCACCCTCGTTCGGATGGCATCAAACTGTGTCTCTTTAATGCTCGTTGATTTATTGTTTTAGTTTTTCTTCTCTCTATTGGAGGAAACAGGCCCAATTTTTCAATGAAATATTACTGTGCGTGGATAAAAAATACAGCTATTTGATCTGAATAGTAACTGTGTGGAATTCTACGTGGGCAAAGTTGATCATCGGTGAAAAAAGTGAAATAAAACTGGAAATGAAAGAAACTGGTTAATATTCTGCGTTTACCTTTGTCACTACGCAACCCAATCATCAAGGGATAATTTGCGCCTCCCAAATACAGTTTTCCCGGTCATATTTAAACAATTCAAAGAAACGAGCTTATTTAGAGGTTGAGTTAATTATCGATATCTGAAAAAATCATGATCATCATCCCGGTAGAGCGCCAGAGCGACTCGTAATAAAATAAAAATGAAAATTTGAGAACATAATGACTTGATTGACATGATGATTTACGTATTGATATGATGATTCGGAGGACATAATGATGGTAGCCAGCAGACTATTAAAAGGTTAATAAAAGATTACCCCCTTCGTCTCCCAAAGAAAGAAATAATGTTGCAACCAATCTCTTGGAGCGCAAGGAGTATCGTCTCAAATCCAGGGGCCAGCAGTGAAAATCGAAGACGGGAAGAAAAGCCAAATGATCAGTAAGATTTTCTTTTTCTATAGGTTCCGACTGAACAAGAAGGAAAAACTTGTTTAGCACCCGTCAAGTCATTTTTTTATTGTTTGTCTTGTCGTGAAGATCGTAATTAGGGATGAGATTTCGTACAGAAATTATTTAAGTACCAGTAAGGAGAAATGCAGAGGGAGCGCCTGTAAACGGGAAAGTTTATTTTTCTTGTGTATTAAATAAAGGGCACGACGCGATACAAGTGGGGATGGGTTCGAGGAAGTCTCAAGTATGAATTATGTTTAGGCGGTTCTCAAGCCAATCTCGAGTCTCAAGTCGGGGTCTCAACTCATTGTGCAGGGGTTCCTCTCCACACTCCGCTCCCAATTGTTATTGTTTTTAATAAAAAAGGGGAAATTAATAAATAAAAAAAATGCGTTGAACCAAGTATCGTTTTTCTGAGCTAAAGAGGGATTGTTGGGTAATTTAATGCTTTCAAATCGGTCGCCCCCCCCCCCCCCNCCCCCTAGAAGCTTACTTTTTCGTCGTTAATTACTTATGTTCCGCCATTTCACCGAGTTGCCGTCTCCGTGCGATGTAAATTTTACGTCGGGACGGTCGAGCACCAGAGTATACACTGACCTCAGAAGCTTATTGGTATATTATTTTAATCATATCCATATTCTGTTGAATTATCTTGCTTGATTAATATACCTCGCACGGTTCATTCAGGTCTCAAGGTAGTTCGACGAAGATTTGACCAGTTTTTGTTCGTTTGTTTTTTTAAATTTTTTACTGAGGAAATCTATTTTTACAGAAATGAAATCAGTAAATATATTCTATGCACAACGTATGTAAGAAAAGTAAATTTAAAAATTGAAGGTGAATTCCCGGTCTCCGACGTAAATAGTCTAGTCGCCTAGTTGCTGATCGTCGTAGTTAATTAACTAAGTAATTATCTATATATGTACAATTTTTTTTGTCTCTTTGACCGCAAGGAG